CCCTCTCTCTCTGACCCTCCCCTGCTCACGCTGTCTCTCTCTCTCTCTTAAAAATAAATAAAACATTAAAAAAAAAAAAAAGGCTTCCTCAAGGAGGGGATATTTACAGTAGGTTTGGAGGGGGTGGATACGAATTCACTGAGAGGAGAATTCTGTGCGTTTCATCCACTCACTCGGCAAAGCTGTGCCTTGTGTGTGCCCAGCCCTGTGCCGTGCAAAGCAGGGGCCCAAGGTGGGCACAGTCTCTGTCCTCACAAAGCCCCTGGTCTGGGCGAGAGGCAGATACAGACCGTTAGGATATAAGGCGGGGAAGGACTTTGGTTGGGGGGCCGATTAGGGCGGTGTCGAGGCCCAGGGGGATGTCACAGGAGAGAGTAAGGCTTGGTCGGGACATTTCCCGTAAGTAGTTTCGGCTTCGTGGGCCGGTCTCTCCCATGGCCACTCAGTTCTGCCATCGTGGCGCGCAGGATGCACGGGTAACACATGGGTGGTTATGTAAATGAGGGCTGCATTCCAACAAGGCTTTATCTGCAAAAACGCCTGCCCGCCGCAGTTTGCCTGCCCGCGGCAGTTTGCCAGTCCCTGGCCTAAATGAGGAGCAACAGGGGGCACCTGGGGGCTCAGTCAGTTGAGCATCTGACTCTTGATTTCAGCTCAGCTCATGATCCCAGAGTCATGGGATCGAGCCCCATGTCTGGTTCTGGTTCTGTGCTGAGTGTGGAGCCTGCTTAAGACTCTCTCTCCCTCTCTCCCTTTTCTTCTCCCTCTCTCTCTCCTTCTGCCCACTTGTGTTCTCTTTGTCTCTAGAATAAAGCAAAAAATTTAAGGTGTGCTTGAGTGGCTTAGTCGGTTAAGCATCTGACTTCAGCTCAGGTCATGATCTCATGTTTCATGGGTTTGAGCCCCGTGTCGGGCTCTGTGCTGACAGCTCAGAGCCTGGAGCCTGCTTTGAATTTTGTGTCTCCTTCTCTCTCTGCCCCTCCCCCACTCATGCTGTGTCTCTCTTTCTCTTTCAAAAATAAATAAACATTAAGATTCGCTCTCTTGCTCTCTCTCCCTGTCTCCTGTTCATGCTCTCTCTGCCTCTAAAATATAACAAAAAATTAAAAAAATAAGTGCGGATTAACATCCAGCAAAGGCTGGGTGAAGGCCGGGAAGGGCTGTCAGGCGGAGAGGAACAGCCAGACCTGAGTCCTGGCCGTGGGGGAGCCACTGGCTGTGGGGGGGGGGGGCACGCGTGCAGGTCAGGACTTTGACTCTGGGAGCCTCGAAGCAGAGCCCCGAATAGTCAGAAGGCACCAGCCGTGTGAACATCCACGGTGAGGAGCCACAGGCAGCGGGAGTGGCAGGGGTGAGCGGTGCGGTGGAAGCGAGGCTGCGCGTTTGAGCAGTGAGGAGGCCAGGGTGGCTGGAACAGAACAGTAAAGGAAGCAGTGATGGCGGGACCAGGTCCCAGAGCTGGGGCAGACAACAGATAAGGGAGTGAAGGGAGAGGGGCCTTGCGGGTGGAGGGTGCAGTTCCGCGCACAGACACCAGGTGGCAGTGACGTGCTCCCGTCCGTGGTGAGCCCTGGGGCTGGAGGTCTTGGAGCTTCTGGGCGGTTCCTTGGGCAACTAGGAGAGCTGGTGAACCGGCAGGCTCACCACCTTCCTCTGCCTGACTTCGTCCAGGTCGACTACAAGGCCAATGAGTGGCTGATGAAAAACATGGACCCGCTGAATGACAGCGTCGCAGCCCTGCTTCACCAGAGCACAGACCGGCTGACTGCGGAGATCTGGAAAGATGGTGAGGACCAGCTTCCCCAGGCCCTGTCCCTGGAGCTCGGCGCGTCCCTGTTCCCAGCCCACAGGGTGCACACCTTTGTTCTAGAGGCCACGCTCCGAACGTGAGTTGTCTGCTGAGACGCAGAAGTGATGCAGGCCCGACAGATGGTCTGACGGTAGCGTTTCCAATTGGTGACTCGTTGATTGAATGATTGGTCGACTGCTGTCTCAAGCCAGCCTCATGCTCAGTGATAAAACTGTCCTTAACCAGACAGACGAGGGTGCCTGCGGTCGCCGCTGCTCTGAAACGCGGGTTTGGCGATATTAGCCTACGCGATCAGACTGGAAAAAAAATTACCATATGAGTATCGTAAAGGAAGAAAGCTATGCGTTGTAGATGGCGTGTGATCCCTAAAAAAAAAAAAAAAAAAATTGAAGAGATTTGACTGAAAACTAAGTAATCACAAGAAAACTCACCAGGGCGGTGTTTTAGAAATTAGTCACCTTTTAGGCTTTGTTTTCTTCGCTCTCACGAACTTCCCTTCAGGGCCCCAGGGAAGAAGAAAGGAACAATGGACCGAGGCGTAGTTTTTGCAGAGCTTTCCTGGCGCATGTCGGTTTGGCCATCATCCTTTCGGGAATGATGCTTCTGGGAGGCACGGGCAGAAAGTGTACGAGTCCGCGTACCTTTCCAAGCCTTGTCTGCCACTCCCCATCCTTAGAGGAGAAAGGATTTTAACCATCCACAAAACCAGCATCCTGATTTTTTTCCCCCGATTCGAGGCTTCCAGAGTCTGTCCGTTTGCCTTGGCCTTTTATTGAAATGAAAAGCGAAGCTGTAATTGCTGGCCCACGCGATTAGACAAGAGAACAAAATAAGATGAGTGGTTCCCACACGGACTCACAAAACCAAAAGGGCGTGAGGTGCCCGATGTTATGAGCTGATTTTAGACAGAGGGATTTGAGGTTTGTGTCTTCTGCGGTTTGTACGAGAGAGATTGGAAAGCAGTGTTTGATGTTCTAAAACAGAACCAGATTCTGCGATGGGAATCATCTCCTCAGACTGAAAATCTCCACCCACCACACACACACACACTTTAATATCTGTGTCCCCTTTTTTGGACACGTATGCCCCACCCCTGCCTACCCCCACCCACCGTGATCCCTCACATACCCCATCTCTCATGAGCCTGGCCCTCCAGGGGTTCCAAGAGAGAGAGAGAGGCGGAAGCTGCGTCCTTGTCTCAAACCTGGCACAGCGTTCCTTCCTCCACAGTTCTCCTGAACAAAGCAAGTCAGAGCAGCCCGGATTCAAGGAGCTGCAGGTCACAGGGAGGGACAGGGAACTGGGGCATTTGTGCATCAATCTCTACTACAGCTGCCCTGAGCCCAGAGTTGGGTGCCCAGATCCTGGGAGCCCAGGGGAAAAGCTCTAACCTCCAAGAAACCAATGCAACAAGCTGGGAAGGAGCATTCAGTTAAGCCTTGAGCTTCCTGGCAGCCAGGACGAAAAGGGATGCCTAATAAAACAGATACAGATTTAACCTCTAGGGAGAGAGATTTTTTATCCCCTTGGCATTAAATGCTCAAAGAACAGTTATCCAGTCAGCTTTGATGCCCTCAGTGCGTAGACACAAAGGTGAACAGACAGGCCCCCTAGCTTTAAAGTTCATGGCTAACATTCAACTTTTTCCCTCCTGCTTTGCCTTGTGCTCTTGACTAATAACGCTCTCCTCTTTTTTTCTTGCCACCTTCTCTCCCTCTTCCCTTCTCTTGCTATTCCCACTGCATCTCCCACCCCCCATCTCTCTGCCTCTCCCCCCTCATCTCTCCTCACCCCCTAGAACACGGGGGCTTCCAGCAATTCTCTTTCCTTGGCTCCTTCCCACCGTCGCCTCCAGGATCTTCAGGGAGGCGCAGCTCTGCCATTTCTCCGTCAGGGGGTGGGTGTTGCTGTGCATCGACGGGTGAGATTTGCCGGATGAGGAGGGTGGGCCTGTTGGACCTGACTTTGAACATCTGTCCCCTCTTCTCCGTGCGGAGGACTCGCCCTTCTCCTTCCCTGTCGCCTCCCTCAGCAGTTTCCAGACTCTTTGTAGCCACACAGCACCTTCTAGTTAAACCGCATGTAAAAGTACAAGCCGACGTGGTAATACCAGCTGGCATTTACTGAGTACCTACTATGCGCTCCGCGCTGTGCAGAGCCCGTTTACAATGACTAACACCTAGAATCCTCCAAACAGGGTGCCTGGGTGGCTCAGTAGGTTAAGTGTCTTACTCTTGATTTTGGCTCAGGTCGTGATCTCATGGTTTTGTGAGTTCAAGCCCCATGTCAGGCTTTGTGCTGACAGTGTGGAGCCTGCCTGGGATTCTCTCTCTCTCTCTCTCTCTCTCTCCCTCTCCCTCTCCCTCTCCCTGTCCCCTGCTCACACTGTCTCTCTCTCAGAATTAATAAACAAACTTAGAAAAAAAAAAAAAAGATCCTCCAAACAACCCAGTGAACGAGGCAGGTGTTAGTGCTATTATCCCCATCATACAGATGAGGAACTTGAAGCACAGAGAGGTTAAGACACCTGCCTGAGGTCACGCAGCCAGTAAAGGACAGAGTTGGGATTTGAACCCAAGTCCTCCCAGGGCCTCTGCTCTCCTCTGTGCTGTAAGAACGTAATTACCATTTTGATAACAGCTGGGAGAATGGCGGTGACAGGCAACATTGAACCTGGGGAGGGAAAGGCCACAGGTGGGCTTCCCCAGTGTGCACCAGGCCCTGCCCTGAGTGAAGAGTGTCTGGTTGTCCCCCGACGACTCACATTACCAAGGACTGCGGGACATCAGAGTCGTCCGGCTGCGGGGCCCCAAGAAAGCTGGCATGATTTCAACCAGAATTCGAGGGGCGCCTGGGTGGCTCAGTCGGTTAAGCGTCCGACTTCGGCTCAGGTTATGATCTCATGGTCCCTGGGTTCGAACCCTGCACCGGGCTCTGTGCTGACAGCTGGGAGCCTGGAGCCTGCTTCGGACCCTGGGTCTCCTTCTGTCTCTGCCCCTGCCCCACTCATGCTCCCTATCTCTTGCTCGCTCTCTCCATCTCTCAAAAATAAAAATCAACATTAAGAAAACCCACAGAATTCAAGGTGAAGGAGTGGGGATTTCTCACTAGCTGCAGTGACACCATCAGATGACAACAGAGAAAATAGTTACCTGAAATCCAGCCTTTTTGGGAAAACGGTTCACGTGGAGGCTGTCTTCTTTTTATTTTTTTATTTTTATTTTTTTAAATGTTTTATTTATTTCTAGGAGACAGAGAGAGAGACAGTGTGAGCAGGGAGGGTCAGAGAGAGAGGGAGTCACAGACTGAAACAGGCTCCAGGCTCTGAGCTGGCAGTCAGCACAGAGCCCGACGCGGGGCTCGAACCCACAGACCGCGAGATCATGACCTAAGTGAAAGTCGGACGCTTAACCGACTAAGCCACCCAGGCGCCCCTGTCTTCTTTTTAATGTTGCACATAAAAGCCAGGCTTTATTACAATATTACTGGGACACGGTTTTAAGTTCCTAAAACCGCAACCGTGCTGTGTGCGCTCTCTGTTTCCCTCTCTGTGCCTTGGTTTCCTCAGCTGTAAAATGGGAGCGATTCGTACAGGCTTATGGATGAGCAGTGAGCAGGCGTATATAAAGCACTTTGCGTGCTGCCTGGCAGACAGTAAGTGCCAAGTAAGCAGATGCCGTTGGCATTACAATAAGGAACAGTGGAGATCATTCCTCGAGACAAAGAGAGGTCAGAGGCCAGGTTCCCAGTGGACTCTCACGGCCTGGGTTCGAATCCTAGATCTGCACTTTCTACGCTGTGTGGCCTTAGGCACAGACTTCCACTTTTCTGAGCCTACTTTCTGAGTTTACACATCAGTCCAGTGGGACTGAAAATACCCACCTTACTGGTGTTTCATATGTAAAGTGCCAGTTCCTATCAATGACAAGATCCTTGAACTTTGACTTAAAACAGTCCACCTAAAACTGACTCCTGACCCCCTTCTTTCTCTACATGTTTCCTCTTCCCGTAGTGGAGGGCATCGTGGGGCTGGAGCAGGTGAACAGCCTTGGGGATGGCCCCCCCGGCGGCCGCCCCCGCCGGGGCATGTTCCGGACAGTGGGACAGCTCTACAAGGAGTCCCTGAGCCGCCTCATGGCCACGCTCAGCAACACCAACCCCAGCTTCGTCCGCTGTATCATCCCCAACCATGAGAAGAGGGTGAGTGACTGGCCTGGGGGGAGCAGCGCTGGCAGTGGGTAAAGGCCTTGGCCACTGAACTTGGCCGGAGCCATGTCTGGTCCCAGGCTTACCTCCCACTGGGTGTGTGACCTTGAGGAAATTCCTTTCCCTCCCAGGCTCAGTGGTCTGTTGGGGAAATTCATTCATTAACAGGACTTAAATTTTCTTAAAAAATGTTTTTAATGTTTTATTTATTTCTGAGAGAAAGAGAGACAGCGTGAGCAGGGGAGGGTCAGAGAGAAAGGGAGACACAGAATCTGAAGCAGGCTCGAGGCTCTGAGCTGGCTGTCAGCACAACACGGGGCTCGAACCCACGAACTGTGAGATCATGACCTGAGCCGAAGTTGGATGCTTAACCGACTGAGCCACCCAGGCGCCCCCAGGACTTAAATTTTATACAGCACCTACTAAGTGCCAGGTATTGTGGATACTGGAGAGAGGAAAAGTGCAGGCAACCCCCTATTCTCACGATTTAATGGGGAGCTCAGACACTCAACTAACCACTCATGGTGAATGGCTGGTTGAATTTGGAGGGGTAGTATCACCTAGGTGAAGGTGAAGTCAGGGAAGCCTTCCTGGAGGAGGCGGTGACTGATGTGGGATCAGCTTGTGCAAAGGCCTGGTGGGAGGGTGAAGCATGAAAGGTACAAGCGATGGAAAGAAGGCTGTTGGGGGGTGGGGGCAGTCATGGAGGTGTGAGGAGACCGTGCCTGGCTCCAGGCCACCAAAAGGTTTTCTTGTTAGGAAAATCAGAGGAGGGGCAACATGAGTTGAAACAGAACAGAAAACCGGGGGTGCCTGGGGGGCTCAGTCGGTTAAGCGTCTGACTTAAGCTCAGGTCATGATCTCACGGTTTGTGGGTTCAAGCCCCACATCCAGCTCTACACTGACAGTGCAGAGCCTGCTTGGGATTCTCCCTCACCCTCTCTACCCCTTTCCCGCTTGCTCTCTCTCTCTATCGAAATAAATAAACTTAAAAAAACCCACAAAATGAGGTCCTGTCCTCAGAAACTAGGAACTGTAGTTACTAGGTGGGTGGAGGGGTGTGCGCGTGTGTTTATGTCTCCTGTCTGCAAATACCGTTTTTTATCTAATCTAAGACCCGTTTATCTGTCACACTTTAGCCTCTCTGAAATTGGGGATGTGGCTTACAGTCAATAGCCTGTCAGAGGTTAATTGATGGGAGTTTTTCTTTTTTGGTGGCAATAGCGTGTTTTGCACTTGATAGTGGCTTATATTTGACGAAATACATAGTACACAGATTCACCCTGGTTCTTTTTAGCGAATGGCGCTTCGAGTCTAAGCGGGTGCTGGGTGTGCTCAGTGGTATGAGGGTGCGCTCCCGGAACCTGGCAGCAAGTAGCGGTGTGTGTACACACCATGTGAAACCGCCAGCCGTTTCTGACCAGCCCGGAGGGCACCCCGAGTCCCCCCCCCCCCCGGCGAAGGGCGCCCCCGTGTGGCCGCCGCTGACCTCGCGTGTCCATTCCCGCTCTGCGCAGGCCGGGAAGCTGGAGCCTCGGCTGGTGCTGGATCAGCTGCGCTGCAACGGTGTCCTGGAGGGCATCCGCATCTGCCGCCAGGGCTTCCCCAACCGCATCCTCTTCCAGGAGTTCAGGCAGCGGTGAGTGCGCGGAGTGGGGGGGAGGCTCGGGTTTGGGGGCCAGCAGTCTGCACCCAGATCCGCCCCCCACCGGAGCCTAGGGACCCCGGGCAGGTTCCTTTGGTTCCTCTTCTCAGCTTTCCCCTCCGCGGAATGGGAGAGCAGGCCCCCCCACTCAGTGCCCTCCCTGGGAGCATAGCGCGTTATCTTACGTTACGGTGGATCGGCCTGTGACAATCTGCGTTTCTTTACAAATGCAGCAGAATAGGATAAATCAGAAAATATTGGAGTGGAAGAAGCAAGTAATACAGGGGCGCCTGGGTAGCTCTGTCCGCTACCCGTCAGACTCTTGGTTTCTGCTCAGGTCGTGATCTCAGGGTTGGTGAGATCAAGCCCTGAGTGCGGCTCTGTGTGGACAGCGGAGCCTGCTTCAGATTCCCTTTGCCTTCCTCACTCCCTGCCTCTTGTCTACCCCTCTCCCCAGCTCACACACACCCTCTCTCTCTCAAATGAGAAAAAAAAGTAATACAGTAAATATTATAACATAATTTGCACTTTGCACAAGCTGTATATAGCAGAGCCACCCTTACAAAAACTAGAACGTGAGCCTTGTATACAATTTAAAATTATCTAGTAGCCGTATTTCTAATAATAAAAGGAAACCGGTGAAATGAATGTTACCAAGATATTTTATTGAATCCAGTTCCATCTAAGATACTAGATAACTTTAACATGAATCAGTATAAAAACGTAGTACTGAGATATTGTGCATTCTTTTTTTTCTACCAAGGCATTGAAATGCGGGGGGCGGGGGGTGCCTTAGCTGACAGCACATCTCAGTTCAGACTCAGTTTGGACTCAGTGAAATGTCCTATCAAAACAATGAAGTTGTGTTTAACAGAAAAATATTTTACACTGCTTCAGTTTTTTTTTTTAATTTTCCTTATTTATATTGAGAGAGAGCGTGCATGCAAACAGGAGAGGGCCAGAGAGAGGAAGAGAGAGAATCCCAAGCAGGTTCCATGCTGTCAGCACAGAGCCCAGGGTGGAGCAGGATCTCATGGACCATGAGATCGTGACCTGAGCCAAAACCTAGAGTCAGACACTCAACCGACTGAGCCCCCCAGGCGCCCCTACACTGCTTCAGTTTTTAAATTTAAATTTCATTTAAAGTTAAATACAATTAAAAACCCAGTTCCTCAGGGTGCCCTCCCAATCAGAGCGTGGCGAGTGTCCACCAGGTGGCGCTCTCACTGCCAGTGCTGTGGGTGGCGCTATTAACGCTCTTCACCCGAAGAATGGCTTTCCTGACTGTTTCTGTTGCTGTCGCTGTTGGGCTGTTGGTCCCTCAGAGCCCAGCCCCAGGCCATGGCGGGAGTTCAGGGACACCTGGCTGTAACTCCCCCCCCCCCCCCCGCAGGTACGAGATCCTGACGCCCAATGCCATCCCCAAGGGCTTTATGGATGGGAAACAGGCCTGCGAGAAGATGGTGAGTCCGGCGTCGCCCGGGGGTGCAGGTGTGGATGTGCGCACGTGCAGGGTCCCGGGTGGTGCAAGAGGGGCCCTCCCCCCACCGCCCCTCCTCTTCGTCACCCCTCACAGATCCAGGCCCTAGAACTGGACCCCAACCTCTACCGTGTGGGACAGAGCAAGATCTTCTTCCGGGCAGGGGTCCTGGCCCAGCTGGAAGAGGAACGCGACCTGAAGGTCACAGACATCATCGTGTCCTTCCAGGCAGCCGCCCGGGGTTACCTAGCACGCAGGTAGGGCGCCGCGCCATCTCCTGGGGCGGGGAGGGGTCGGCCAGGTGGCTCCCGGTGTCGGGGCCACGGATAGGGCAGAAGGGCTGAGACATAAAAAAGGACGGAGCCGCCGGACGCCCGGGCTTCTCGGTTCTGTAGTCCCTGAGGGCCCCCCGACAGGCCGGGTCCAGTGCGGAGCGGTGCCCGGGACCCGGAGAAGACGTGTGCTTGGAGTGGGGTGACCGGCCGTCCTGCTTTGCCCGAGACTGAGGTTCCCCAGGATGCGTGATTTTCAGCACAAAACCAAAGAAAGCCCCGGGCAAACGGGGTCCCGGTGGTCACCCTACCGGCCAGTGCCTCGAGGGACCCCAGTCTGGAGCGGGGAGACATATCAGGGCACAGAGCAGCCCGGTCTGGAGCGGGACGCGCTTTGATGGGGGTGGGACAAGTGGAGGGTGCGGACCCCACTGTACACCAGGACGCCCCCAGGTCCCCGGATGAGCACCAGGCGCGGGAGGACGGGAAAGGTGCTCCAGGCAGGAGCGACAGCCTGTGCAAAGGCCCAGTGATAGGAGCGCCAGACGTGATTCAGGAACGCGGGAAGTTGCCAGGCCCAGAGGGAGGGTCGCACAGTGAGGGACTCTGCAGACACCAGGCTGAGGGGCGGGGCCGTCCAGGCATGCGGGGGAGCCCTGGGAGGGCTGTGAGGCGGGAAGGGATGGGTAAGCTCTGGGTGTCCAAAGACCCCTCGAGAGGCATGTTGGGGATGGACTGGAGGCAAGAGATTGGAGGCTGGAGGGTTGGGGAAGGGTCCAGGTGGGGGAAGAGGAGGCCTGAAGTAGGGCTGTGCGGACAGAGGGGAGGGGACAGAGCAGAGAGAGTCGAGGGCAGAAGGGCCAACAAACTGTACACAGATCTGCCAATAACAGAACAGTCCTTGCATACAGTAGACACTTCATAATGGCTGACTAATTGGGACGCCTGGGTGGCTCAGTCGGTTAAGCATTCGACTCTTGATTTCGGGTCAGGTTATGATCTCTCTCCCTCTCTCTGCCCCGCCCCCACTCATGCTGTCTCTCTCTCAAAGTGAATTTTAACAAAAATAATAAATACTTGTTGACTAACTGAAGGGAGCTTTGCTCTCTTGCTGAGCGGACGGGCCTGGAGGGGCCGAGCCTTCACTCCCCCACTTGCCCATCTGCCCACTCAGAGCTTTCCAGAAGCGGCAGCAGCAGCAGAGCGCCCTGAGGGTCATGCAGCGGAACTGCGCGGCTTACCTCAAGCTGAGACACTGGCAGTGGTGGCGGCTCTTCATCAAGGTGAGGGCGCCCGGGGAAGTGGCCTGAGCAGCAAGGAGACAGGACCTTGGGGCCAGGCCTGCGTGGGCAAGTGGCTTTATTTGTTTGGGCCTCTGCTTTCTGTATCTGTAAAATGGGACCCATCAGCCCAACTTTTGTCAGCCAGGATTCTTTGGGTTGTAAGTGACAAAAAAAAAAAATCTGAATCAAACCAATGTGGATAAAAGATTCAGGACAGCTTCAGGAACAGCTGGATCCAGGGCTGAGTTGCAGGGGGGGTGCAGGATCAGAGTGGATCCCACTAACAAGGGGGCAGGTGGTTCTATGAACCGTTCATCCCCGCTGTCTGTGTGGGCGGCCCCTGTCCTGCCCCCTGAATCACACAGCGTCAGGTGCATCTCTCAGCCTGGACCTGGGACTCGGGACACCCTTGGAGAAGCGTTGCGCTACCTTCCGAACGGCACCCCGATGTGTCCTGTACCCCAGGCTTGGTTTAGCAAAGGAGGGACCCACTTAGCGCAGCTCGCCTCGGGGCCCCTGACTGTTCTAGGCTCTTCACAAGTGTTAGCTCATTCACGCATTCCAAAGACCCTGTCATGCCCGACTGATAGCAGAGGACACTATTGTGCCTGCCTGAGGCCACACGGCTGGTGGGTGGCAGCGCCGCCCCTGGAACCCAGGCATGGAGCATCCATTCCCCTTCCTCTCCCCTCCCTCCCCCCAGGTGAAGCCGCTGCTGCAGGTGACGCGGCAGGATGAGGTGCTGCAGGCACGGGCCCAGGAGCTCCAGAAGGTGCAGGAGCTGCAGCAGCAGAGTGCCCGCGAGGTGGGCGAGCTCCAGGGCCGCCTGGCACAGGTAAGGGGCGGGGCCGCGGTGTGGGCGGGGCCGCGGGTGGGGCCACGGCGTGGGGGCGGGGCTGTGGGGCAGAGCCGAAGGAAAACTCGTGGGATGCTGTTGGGCCGTGATGTGCTGGCCGCAGGGCCCTGGGGTGCAGCCGGGGTATTGGGTGGGGGACTGGTTCCTGCGAGCCCGGATGCTCAGGGGGCTTGGCTCCAGCGAAGGGGCAGGGCAGGGGGCTGGCCTTGAGGCAGGGCTAGGGTATGCAGGTGGCCAACTTTTCATGGTTTCCGGTTTTTCTGGTGTCTTCTAAGTAATGATGAAGCAAACCCCTTCTTGGGCGTTTTTCTGTTTGCTTTTTCTGAATTATTTCCTTTGGTTAAATGTCTAGGCGTAGGAGTTAAATGAAATGTGAGATGATAGAAAGGCCTCTCTGGGACTATTTGGAGGGTGGACTGGGGAAGGAGAGACTGGAGGCAGGGAGGCTGGGAAGGAGGCTGGGGAGAGAGTCCACTGGGAGAGGATAAGTAAGGCCTACGCTTGTGGGGCCGTGGGGCCAGGGAGGAGGGGACAGGGCAGAGAGAGTCCGGGGACCGTGGGGACAGGGCTGGGGACTGATGGGCTGTGTGAAGGTGAAGGAGAGGGCGGCACCCAGGGGGTGACCAGGGGGATGGAGGCCATCCCGAGATAGGGACGTGGGGGAACGCCCTCCAGGACTCAAAGAGCAAAGCAGGGACGCCTGGGTGGCTCAATTGATTAAGCATCTAATTCTTGGTTTTGGCTCAGGTCATGATCTCACGGTTCATGAGTTTGAGCCCCACATCAGGCTCTACGCTGACAGCGCAAAGCCTGCTTGGGATCCTCTCTCTCCCTGTGTCTGCCCTTCCCCTGCTCGTGCTCTCTCTCTCTCTCTCTCCCTCTCTCTCAGAAGATAATAAATTTATTTCTGAGAGAGAGGGAGAGAGAGAGAGAGAGAGACAGCGTGAGCAGGGGAGGGTCAGAGAGAGAGAGAGAGATACAGAATTTTAAAAAGCCTCCAGGCTCTGAGCTGGCTGTCAGCACAGAGCCCGACGCGGGGCTCGAACCCCGAACCGTGAGATCGTGACCTGAGCCGAAGTCGGACACTTAACCGACTGAGCCACCCAGGCGCCCCAAATAAATTTCAAAAAAAGAACGAAGCAAATCAGGAGGCAGGAGGGACGCGGCGCTCCTCTGAGACCGTTCTAGGAGCCGTGCGTGCCGAGCGCTGACCCCCACCCTGTCCGCAGCTGGAAGAGGAGCGCAGCCGCCTGGCAGAGCAACTGCGGGCGGAGGCAGAGCTGTGCGCGGAGGCCGAGGAGACGCGCGGGCGGCTGGCGGCCCGCAAGCAGGAGCTGGAGCTGGTGGTGTCGGAGCTGGAGGCCCGCGTGGGGGAGGAGGAGGAGTGCAGCCGCCAGCTGCAAACCGAGAAGAAGAGACTGCAGCAGCACATACAGGTCTGGCCCCCAGGCCGCCCCTCCCCGCGCCCATCTGTCTCCCCTGGCAACCTTGGCTTGTGCAGACCTCGGTCTCTTTGGGCCATGAATTTGCAGAAACGTCAACTCAAAGTGGCTTAAGCAAAAAACATTCTCTGTTTTTTGTTTTTTTCTTGGTTCAAATAATGGGCGACTTCAGAATGGGTAAGCTTCAGGCATGGCTGGATCCAGGCGCTATCCTTTGTACTCCTTCTGTGTCCGTCCCCTGGCTCCGTTTGTCTCTGCGCTGCTGCATTCCCAGGCTGGCTGCCCTCTCACGGTTCCCCTTCAGAATCCAGGGTGTGTTTCATACTTGCGGTACATCCGAATTCAGGCGCTAAACTTTCACTGGCAGTACTTCACCTGCCTTTATGTTTTAGGACTTCTCCATTTGAGAAAGTAGATTGAGGTGCCCAAGTTATTCCCTACTTAACATTTTTCCCCCAGTGATTCATTGAGCGTCTGGTTTTAAATTTAAATGAAGTCACATTTAAATAAGGTGGAGAAGTCAGTTCCTCAGTCACACTGGAGACGCAGAAGACAGCACTTTGTTACTCAAATACAGCCCGAGGGAGGCAGGTGCCACGCCCCCGAGAGCCACATAGGATCTGTACTCAGGAGTAGAATGCAGAGGCCACAGGCGTGGGAGGCAGGCTTTGTAGTAACGAGGGGCTGAGGTGACCCCTGGATCCTACCCGGACAGGTGCTGGGTTGGTTTGAATACTTCCAGGGCTGGCAGGCGACTGTCGTCCACCAGGCGGGTGCTGTGGCCGGTCCCCGTGATACGGAGGGTTATGTGGCCAGGGCACAGTGGGTAGGTGGAGGGCGTGTGGCTAGGCCATCCTGAGTCCTCCCAATCCCAGACAGCCAGGCCGCCCATATCCTGAACTTTTATAAAAGCTGGAGGTAGTACAATATCAGCTTCACGTGTTCAACGTGATGATTCAGTATTTGTGTCTGCTGCAAAGTGACAGCATCTAGTTAACACCCAGCACCTTACATAGTAACAAAAAAAAATTTTATCTAGTGATGAGAACTTTTAAGATCTACTATCTTAGAGGCACCTGGGTGGCTCAGTTGGTTAAGCATCCGACTTCAGCTCAGGTCGTGATCTCACGGTTTGTGAGCTCGAGCCCCGCATCGGGCTCTGGGCTGACAGCAAAGATCCTCTGTCTCTCTCTCTGCCCCTCCCCTGCTCACGCTTTCTCTCAAAAATAAACATTTAAAGAAAAGATCTATCTTAGCAACTCGCAAATATACAATACAGTGTCATGAACTAGTCATGCTGTACGTTACGTCCCTAGAACTTCTTTACTTCTATATCTAGAAGTTTGTACCTTTTGACCCCGTTCATCGGCCCTTCCCCCCAAGACTCCGCCCCCAGCGACTCCTCACCTGTTCTGTGTATCTGTGAGCTCAGTTTTTGTTTTCGTTTTTTAGATTCCACATGTGAGTGAGGTCATATGGTTATTTGTCTTGTATCTGACTTACCTTACTTAATGTAATGCTCTTAACGTCCATCCATGCTGTCTCATAACCTTAATTTCCGGTCTCACACCACATGTTGCCACATGTGCCTGGTTGGTGCCACAGGGGACAGTGCCCATCTCTAAGATATATGTATAATGTTTATGGTTTATACTCTTCATGCACATACAAGAACATAATTTCCAGGGGCGCCTGGGCAGCTTGATCTGTTAAGCGTCTGACTCTCAGTTCTGCTCTGGTCATGATCTCGTGCTTTGTGAGTTCGAGCCCCGCATCAGGCTTTGCCCTGGCAGCTCGAAGCCCGTTTGGGATTCTCTCCTCTCTTTCCCTCTCTGCCCCTCTCAGAATAAATAAATAAACTAAAAAAAAAAAAAAAAAAAAAAAAAAAAAA